TGAATTACACGTGAAATTTTGAAGCAGATAGACTGAAATAGTATTTTCTTGTAAAACATACAATAGCTTTATTTGCAACTTCTAAAAAATTACAAATTAAACATTTTACAGTGCAGATGTTTCCTTTTGTACGTGGTTCTCATGACTGCAATACATTTATATGATTTGAAATCACTATAAACAATAAATGGTGGCACGATTGATCTCTGCATCATTACATCGAACTGAACTGCAAAAATGACATTTTCAAACACTCGTCTGTCATTGGCCAGTCAGTCAGAAAGCCCCGCCCCAAACACAAGTGATTGGCTGAGTCAGAACATGAAGCTGCCCTAAATATTTTCAAATGTACACTAGCAGTCAAAAGTTTTTGATTTACGATTTTTTATGTTTTTTAAAGAATTCCCTTCTGCAAAAAATAAGTATTTTTTTGTCGTTTTCCAGTGCAAAACTAAAAAAAAAAATTCTACACATTCCACACATTTTTCCGCATTCCACACGTTTCCGCATGTTGTTTGGATGCCGTTTGTGTGTTCATTGCCTACACAATTCAATTATTTTATAAGCATCCCAACAAAAACAATCCTGGATCCTGAATCACTGATCAGTGATGTGTTTGTGATGATCATCAGATGTCATACTGTCTTCTGGTCGTTCTCGAAGCATCGGCCTCTTCTTTGTTGCATCTCTCCTCAAAGCACTCGCGCCCCAGATTCCCCTGAATCAGGATCTCCTCCAGCAGGAACGCATGGGCCCGCCGCCGGGACCGAAACACTGGAACACACCCAGAACTTCAACAAACATCACACTGTGCACGTTTCACCAGTTATCTAACAGTAGCACTGTTTCCATACACCTATTTTTATGCGCATTTTGGGATATTGCATAGAAAACCGCTGGATGGAAATGCCAAGATGCACATTAATTCTCACGCGCAATTTATAATATATGAAAATGATTACATTCGGTGGCTTCTCCTACTTTTCTTACTGATATTTAGTGCCAGTTTATCAGGAAGTGATGATTTTGTTCTCTTTGACTCGTTGGATAGAAACGGTGCTTTCTTCGCAAATATGTTTTATGCCATATTCCAGTTTTGCGCATAAGTTAAATTAGCATCTTCAACTATTTTTATGCGCATTTTGGGATATTGCATAAAAAAACGCTGGATGGAAACACCAAGATGCGTATAAATTCTAAATAATATGCTTTAAAAAAATGTATGCGCTCAACTAAGTCGTATAAAATTCTTATCCGGTGAGAAAACATGCGCATAAACTACGATGGAAACACTTTTACCGAATAAATTCCTTAATGTGAATCAAAAAAGACATGCGACATCTGAAGCTCGTAGTTTATTGTTTACGAAAATTATTATACAGTGCCTTCTCCTACTGCAGCAAATTTAATTCGATTTCTTTGTAATATTTAGCGAAAGTTAATCTGGAAGTGACGACTTGGTCTCTTCAGCGCACTGGATGGAAATGGTGCCAATTTTGTCGATATTCCAATTTTGCGCACAAGCTTAATTCGTTACTTTGGATGGAAACATAGCTATTAGCAGTGAACGTCCTAATCAAACTAGTTAAACAGAGCAAAACAAGGACAGGAACCATGAATCCAGATAGTTGATCTCTCACCCGTCTGTTGATCCGCGGTCGACACCTGATGAGCGATCAGCGTGAAGAACAGCAGACGACAAATGAGCGATTCCATCGCGATCAATCGGCAGAAGCTCTCAACGACTGTCTGTAGCCCCGCCCACAATCAGTACAGTCAATAACATCAGGTCCTCTCCAAAGAGCGTCTTCCTCAGGATACATGCGTCTCTCTTACTGTACACAACTACATTTCTGTCATGACAACTCTCGGAGGGATTGGTACGGTAATGTATATGACAATGTTAATGTATTTGGTCTTGGCGGAAGAGATCTGCTACGCTGCTGCTGCGGCAGAGCAAGTAACGAGACTTGCTGCTGCAATACATCCACAACATACTGCTGTGAGCATGTAAGAAATACTGCTGCTGCACATATAACATACATGAAACAACCCCCATGTAGCGTACATGAATCACCTCGTAGCAGATCTATACAGGTGGAGCTGGGGAAGGTGGAGGGTTTCTGAAGTGCGCTGCAACTGCTACGGCAAGCACTAGTCATATATTTGAATGTTGAGCAGCGAGCTCATTGGCTACCGATACAGGAGAGAACCAATCAGCTGTGCCATGTGATAATGATGTCATTAGGTCAGACTGAGTTAGACCTATCGGACTGCGCCATCTAGAGTTTCATGCCAGAACTCTGTATTTAACCATTACACCCAATACTGTTTATAATACTAATGCAAATGTGCTCTGAAGTTCTCTCTGTCAAAACCCATCCTGCAGTTTTACCCCCATAAAAACCAGCACAGAAACTGTGGAAAAACTCTGCAGATTCTGTCTGGGCCTACATGAAACACACAGACAATGAGCCATGCAGCAGTCACTGCTTCAAACGCTCGCTCTCTCTATATCTCATTGCGATGACACTGTGTGGGCAGCCCGAGAGGATGCTTATGCATAACAGCAGATGGTTGTCATGGCAACAGATGCCTACACGTCCTACCAGGCAGTCCCACTCATCCACAGACACCTACTCACCCCAAACACGCTCGCGCACAAGACAGACTGCGCTTAAAACGGCGAGGAACTGTTGGCAAAGTAGAGAGGATGTTTTTAAATTCCTTGCCCTTTCCCTCTCTAGCGAGCTCTCCGGCACAATCAGGGCTCTCTGCGATATTTTTATCTCGTTTTTATAAACATGGACGTGGGTTATCTCGCCCACGTCCCCTCCTCAAACACCATCAGACAGGTAGATTCAGCTGCTGTCGGAGTTTTATACGCTTCACAACGACGAAAGGCCAGCAGTGACATAAAATAACCATGCAACTGTGTGCAACTGCTGAAACTGTGAGGTTTAGTTTTAGTAATATGATCTGCTTTGGTAAATGTCACGAGCACAATCTACATACATTCGTTTTGCAGCTTTCAAAAACACAAATGTGCATGTAATTGCATTCATGCATTGAGCGTCTCAATACAGAGAGGTTTGCTAAGCAC